ACTGCTTTTTTGTTAAACTTTTGCCATAAACAGTTCAGTATCAATTGTACTCAGCATTTTTAATGAATGACTAATCCTAAAAGCAAAGTATTGGAATCTGGAACTAATCTCATTTTCTTAGATTGAAAAAAGTCAAGTCACGTGGTAAGAGGAGACTTGGTTTAGTGCCTGAGCACATTCTGCTCACACCTTTGGGATTCCCACGAGTAGCTGGAAGTGTAGCTTTAAACATTATTTAACATAAATGTTGAAGGAAAACTAGCTGTCTGTCATAACTTAAGTACTAAAGAGTCTAAGAATGTCACCCTAAGGATTTGATTTCTCTTACTGAACTTGTCACTGCTGCCGTCATTTCTTTTTTCCTTTTTATTATTTGTGTGTGTGTGTGTGTGTGTGTGTGTGTGTGTCTGTGTGTCTGTGTGTCTGTGTGTCTGTGTGTGTCTGCCACAGAGCGAGTGAAGGTTGGAGGACAATCTTGAGGAGTTTGTTTCTCTCCTTCTACCTTTGCGTGGGTTCCTGGGATGGAACTTAAATTACTAGGTTTGTGTGGCGATTGCCTTTCCATCTAACCAGCCTCATTAAATTTTTTTTTTTTTTTTTTTTTTTACTTATAATGATCCATTTGAATGTTTAAAATGTAGGGTTTATTTTTCTGAAGCAAATACAATATTTTCTGAATCACGAGACATCATTTTACATAAATCCCATTAAAAGCTGCAGCCAGTTTGCCCAACCCCAGATGGCCTAACAAGTATTTGAGTCACACTGGGAATCACGGGACTTGCAGACTTCCATGAAGATAATGCACATGTGCCGCCACAGAGCGGTCATAATTATGGGAGAGATCATCCTGTAAAAAGAGCGACCCATATTTTTGTGATTCACAGATGCACAACATTTTAGTTGGTCAATGAATATAGTATGCACATGTTATTAACCACATGAGTAAGGGGTGAGGCTGACAGTTAATGGTGTTGAAGAATAAACATTGCCCCAGGCAATGGTGGTGGATGCCTTTAACCCCAGCACTTGGGAGGCAGAGGCAGGCAGATCTCTGAGTTCAAGGCCAACCTGACCTACAGAGCAAGTTCCAGGACACCCAGGGCTACACAGAGAAACCTTGTCTCAAAAAAGGGAAGAAAATTTAAAAAAAAACCAACAGTATAAACCAAAAGTCTTCTGTATAAAACTCCATACTAGAATCAAAATGTATCAACTTCAGCCAGAATAGCGATGGAAAAGGTAACAGAAGCCCCGTTAGATTGGAGTCTGGAGGCTTGTCTACTCAGAGTGTCAAAGCTTGACTTGGAGTAGGTGGTTCAAGAAGTAACCCCACAGTGGCTGTCCAGCAAACCCACAATGACATCCCGCTAGTCCTGTTCCCTAAGGAGAGTATTACAGTACAGCATTCAGCACAGAAGGGTGTGTATATAGCTTGGGTGCTAAAGGAAATAGAGTTTAGTTATATGCAAAGGCTATACAGTTACTTGTGGTTTTTACAGTTATCAGTGATATTTGGTTGTCCAAATAGTTCCAATGAAACCACACCAGTGAGTTGCATATCACGCCTAGTTTCCTTGTTACAGGAAGTTGAGTGACACCAGTACTATCTGTTTTGTGAAACAGTTAAGATGTCTGTAGGACTCGGCATAGGTCATCTCAGGAAAGAGCAAGCAGCTGTTCACTGAGATCAATTAGTAGTGAATTTTCCCAGCAACTTTAGTCCTTATTTGTTTATTAAAGGAAAAAAGGAAAAAAAAAAAAACAACTTGGTGTAGTTTTGGAAGTACTCTTGAAAAGATGGGCAGTTGGAGGCTAAATGCTTGATTGTCTGCAATTTGATGATACAATTTGTGAACTCAAGCAAGGATCTTAAGTCTGCACATTTCAGGGTTTCCTGGTTGGGGGCTTATATTGCTGATTGGAAAGAACCCGGCAGATAGCCAGAATAAATATCTTCAGAACTAGAAAAGAGAGTAAGTTGAAATTAGTGAACTTAACTAAGAAAATAGTTATTGTGATATTTGTAGTCATGAATGAGTGCGCCACTTTATTTTATTTTATTTTATTTTTTTTTTTGGTTTTTCAAGACAGGGTTTCTCTGTGTAGCTTTGCGCCTTTCCTGGGACTCACTTGGTAGCCCAGGCTGGCCTCGAACTCACAGAGATCCGCCTGGCTCTGCCTCCCAAGTGCTGGGATTAAAGGCGTGCGCCACCACCGCCCGGCCAGAGTGCGCCACTTTATATCCCTAGTAAAATGAAATTAACTAATATATATTTGTCTCATTTAATTTGTCTTGAGATGCATACCGAAAGAATAAATCATGTTTCTTCTAGTTCCCACATAATGGATTTTAATATAACTTGTTTTTATGAAATATTTTAATAACAAAAATTGGCAAAGCCAGGCAGGAGGCAGGAGACTTGCTATGAGTTTGAGGCCAGCCTAGGTTCTATAGGAAGTTCTAGACCAATCTGGATTATGAAAAGAATCTGTTTCAAAGTGTGTGTGCACACACACAGAGATTGAAAGCAAGCAAAGAAAACCTGATTCAAATGTATTAACCTTTATTCCTAGTTTGTATTTCCTTTATTTAGTAAATAGTAAAATTTATATATATTTAACATGTCAAATACGTCAATTGGACGATTTGATAATTAAGTCAAATTTTTTCTTAACACTAGGGGGCTCTCTAGACTTATAAATTCTTGTTACCTGCTACACACAGGATATGAAATGATTTGAAAACATTTTGTTACAAAATGTGCATTACCGACAGAGAAAATTAGAGGCCAGCTTAGGCTCTGTAGCCAGTTCTAGACCAGTCTGGTTTGCAGAGTAAGATTCTGATTCACCCCCCCCCCCCCCAGTAAAACTGAAAGTAAGCCAAGAAAACCTGATTCAAATGTATTACTGTATAATTACTTATAATCTGGGTTTTAAAATTTATTTATTTATTAGGATTGGATCTCACTATGTAGCCCAGGCTGTGAACTTACTGTGTAGCTCAGGCTGGTCTTGGGCTGTGATCTCTTTGACCTCACAGGGTTGGGGTTACAGGTGTGTATCACCATGTCCAGCACAAGCTGATTTTTAGTATAGCAGGGCAAATGGCAGCCTCGCCTTAGCAGTGTATTGTAAGGATAATGGAGCCCGTGCAGTGAGATAGTGTGAGCTAGAAGGAATTTCCGTGCTCTTGATTTTCATATTGATTTTGTAAATGGTTTCTACGTCCAATTAATTCAAATATATTTAAATAATTGTAGTATGATGTTCTGTTCCTAGAAGGTGATAAGGCTGATCTGAAGCAATGGAAATAATTTAACATGTGCTTGAAAGCTGCTGTCATTAGTTGTAATTTTGAAGCATTTGAAACCCCAGGGGCATGTTTGGGTCCATCTAAGAAGCAGATTCTTACCCCTGCATCTTAGGATTTTCATGGTGCTCACCAGATAGATGCTGATACCTAGCAGTGTATTTAAAGTTTCTGTCTTTATTTCTTTATTTAGAAAACTGCTACATTTAAACTTTATATTCATTAAGTAGATAGTGAAAAATTTTGCTTCCTCATTGCATTGTTGTTGGAGCATATTTACCATATGTAAATGCATATTGACTCAGTTTTCTCCACCACAGCTCTGTGAGTAGACACTTACTGTTGCCCGTTTTATATATGAGGAAACTACAGAAAAGTTGATGTGTTGCATTCATATGTAGCCTATAAGCTCATGATTTGCTGGGGAGGTGGTGGGGAGTCTGTACTGGGAACTGACCCTAGGTCCTTACACATGCATGTTCTACCACTGAGCTGTATCCCACCCACCTGCCAGCCTCACCTCTCCCTCTAGTCGGTGCCTGGTCTGCCCTTGGGCTGGTGGTCGTCCTGCTTAGACCCTGCCTCGCTGAGCGTGCAGGCTTATGTCCCCAGGTCCAGCGGAGCCTGCGCTTGTTACAGAAAGGAGACAGAATTGGTGGATTACCGTGGACATTGCAGACTTGTTTGTGTGGCAAATAGTGTAGAATACCTATCTTACAGTTTCTTCTGTGAAGAAAGATGCTTAAGTTTGGAAAGGGACGCGAAGTCTGTTTACCCCTGTCAATTTATGGAAAAGAAGGGATTGTTTGGGAAAACAGTAAAATCTCAAGTGAATATTCTGACTTTAGTAAAGTGGAAAGAAATAATGGTGTCATTGCGAAGACTGTTTGGCTGGAGTTTTAGATGTCTTGAGTCACGTTCCTCACTTACCTGCTGGTGTCCTGGAGACTGTCCTTTGTGTTGTGTGGGAATATAATGGCTCTGTCATCACTGCAGGTGCGGGGTTTCCTCTTCCCGTGTTCTCAGTGGGATAAGAGGACTGCGGATACTCACAGCCCTTAAAGCCCTGCACAGATGAGCAAGCATGTGCTGTGGTTTTGTGCCGTGTCCTCCCTCTTTATTCTGAAGTGTTGGTGCTGTCTTTTTTTTTTTTTTTTTTTGGTTTTTTCAAGACAGGGTTTCTCTGTGTAGCTTTGCGCCTTTCCTGGAGCTCACTTGGTAGCCCAGGCTGGCCTCGAACTCACAGAGATCCGCCTGGCTCTGCCTCCCGAGTGCTGGGATTAAAGGCGTGCGCCACCAACGCCCGGCGTGTTGGTGCTGTCTTAGTAGAGCAGTAATGGCAGGCCTCTTCAGTGCTGTTATCTAGAGGGGGCATCTGAACCTTGAATGTCACAGAGTTGGGGGTGTTTACTTTGCCACATTTCAAATACCTGTTATTTAGTTAAAACTAAAAATACAATGCAGTTCAGTTCTTTTCCCTCACAGTATTCACTTAATGAGTGAAGAAGCACTTTTATTTATTGACACACTTGGTATTTCTGATCCTTGGAACTCAGTGGCTTACTGAAAACAAGGCTCTTGGCAGACTGGCAGCCTTTCCCCAGCGTGGCCGGGGCATGGTTGTCTTTGTGAACTTAGCGGAAGACACACATTTTGATTTTTTTCTTTCTTTTTTTCCTAACAGGAATAATGTATTTGTGGCCTTGGACATGAAGTAGTCAGACCTGTTGCTGTTGCTATAGGACCAGGGACTGATGAGGGAAGCATGGACCTAATGAACGGGCAGGCAAGCAGTGTTAATATCGCAGCGACCGTTTCCGAGGTAAGACGTAACAACCTCAATGTAAAGTTCCTTGTCTGGCTTTCTAAAGTTCCAAGCATTGAGGTTGGGTACATTTTAAAATCAGTGCGAGCAAAAGACTAGCCAGCTTCTACAGCTTGTCTTTCCAATTCCTCTTCCTTAGTTATCGTACAGAATGATAGATTTTATTGTTATTATCTTTGTACCTCCCTCCTGTTTGTCCCTTCCCTCCTCTCCTGCTTGCTGGTCTCCTTCCTCCTTACAAACAGTCCCCTCTGCTTCGATCTCTCTCTGTCTCTGTGTGTGTCTCTCTTTGTGTCTCTGTCTCTGTCTCTCTCTCTCTCTCTCATACACACACCCACACCCACACACACCCTAGGTTCTATATATGAGAAAGGGTTTGTCTTTCTTCCTTCCCATTACCTTCTCTTACTTTCTCCTCCCTTCTCTTTATAGACATCTTATTCTCACTTAATAATCCCCATTCTACTTTCCTGTTGTACATAGATACATGTATATTTATATTTAAATACAGATTCTTCATAATCTGAGAAAAGCATGCAGTATTTGTTTTTCTGAGAACTATCATTTGTCTATGTGTGTGGGGCGTATGCACATGAGTGTACAGGTTCATATGTTCTGTCTGCCTGTGTATGATGTATGCACGTGAGTGCACACGTTATGTGCCTGAGCATGCCCGTGTGGAGGCTGGTACCCAACATTGGGTGTCTTAGCCTGCCACCCTTTGCCTGACTGCTGTGAGACAGTGCTGGGCTTGCAGGCATGTTGGGCCCTGCCCAGCTTTGTATGTGCTTTGTATGTGCTCCTTGGCAGTCTCCTCAGGGCCTCATGCCTGGAGAGCAAGCTCTCTTCCTTTCTGAGTTATTTCTAAGGGTGTGTGTGTATATGTGTGTGTTTGTTTTGAAACAGGGTCTCACTATGTAGACCAGGCTTGCTCAAACTCACTGTGTAGATCAGGCTGGAACTCACAGAGATCTGCCTGTTTCTACCTCCCAAGTGCTGGGATTAAAGTACATGAGTCACCATGCCCGACTTTAAAAAAACAAACAAACAAAAAAACTACTAAGTTTTGTCATTAACATGTTAATTGCATCATGCAAGTACTTTATCTACTTAAGATACTTTAAAAATAATAAATAATGATTACTGAGAACTCTTAGGATTCGTATTGAAACTGCATGGGGATATTCTTCTATGACATGACCCTTTAGGGTACTTTCTAGACCATGACTTTAAACCTCTTGGTGACCAGACCAGCTCAGTATAGGACAAGCTTGCTTTGCTGACGGAGCTTAGAGCTGAAATGGCCGTTAAGCCTGAACTAGGAAGCCAGTTCTTGCTTTCATGGGTTGCGACTTTATTTTTTCTCACCATTTTTTTTGCTATGTTTACAAATATTGAATACTTTCCTTAATAATTTTAGCATTTCCTACTTTTTGGGCCTAAGAGATCTGTAACACTCCTTACCCTTTCCTGGCTTCTGTGAATATGGACGGTCTCCTAGCTTCCTGTTGAAAGATGCAGATGTTTTTGCTGCTGCTGTTTTGTTTACTTGAGTTGCTTTGGGCACCACACCCTTTGGTCACAAGAGTCCAAGTCTGCCAACCAGCCCAGAATGACAACCTTCTGGGATGTGACCATGGAGGTCGGATCCCTTTTCCTGCATAGTCTCCTCGTTAGAAGCAAGTCATAGACCCTGCCATGCCGAGGAGCTGAAAATTGCTCAAGAATGTTTTTTATTTTAAAATGCCAGGTCTCATGAAGCCCAGGCTCATCTCTAGCCCACCTCCTGCCTTTGTTTCCCAAATGCTGGGATTATAGGCATGTACTGCCAGCCTGCCTCACTTTGTCTTTGTTTCTGGTCCATTTAACTGAAATTCAATAGCAATTAGCACTCTTTTCTTTTCATTTCGTTTTGTTTTGTTTTTGTTTTTGTTTTTGTTTTTCTACACAGGGTTTCTCTCTGTAGCTCTGGAGCCTGTCCTGGATCTCGCTCTGTAGACCAGGCTGGCCTCGAACTCACAGAGATCCACCTGTCTCTGACTCCTGAGTGCTGGGATTAAAGGCGTGTGCCACCAACTACTCGAGGTGTATTCTTTTCTTTTATGAGCTATTATTATTATTATTATTATTATTATTATTATTATTATTATTAGTGTGTGTGTATGAATTCCATATGAGTGCAAATACCTTTGGAGGACAGAAGAGGGTGTCAGGTTGCCTGGAGCTACCATTATTATTATTATTATTATTACTTTGTGTGTGTGTGTGTGTGTGTGTGTGTGTGTGTGTGTGTATGAATTCCATATGAGTGCAAATACCCTTGGAGGACAGAAGAGGGTGTCATGTTGCCTGTAGCTGGAATTATGGGTGGTGTGAGCTACCCCAATTGGGTGCGGGAGCTGAACTCTGGAAGAGCAGAAAGTACTCTTTAACGGCTGAACTAGCTCTCCAGTCCCTAACTAATATTGTTTAAATACAACCTTTAAACTTTCCATTGTTGCCTACTAATTAACTTTAGATGCTCCCATCGCCAGCCTTTCATCCAGGACTTGCCTCATCCCTCCTTGGTCTATTGTGGACCTGTTTGTGTGTACACTGGTGCTCGTGGTATAGACCAAGGACAGTGTTGGCTGTTGTCCTGTGTCATGCTCTGTGTTTTCAGACAGGCTCTGTCCTGGTTTGCTTCCTGTCACTGTGTGAAGCCTCTTAACTAACTTGGGATAGAGAGGGTTTCTTTGGTTTACATGTCACAGTCCATCATTGAGGGAAGTAAAGACAGGAGCTTAAAGTAGAAACTGTGGAAGAAGGCTGCTTACTGGCTTGCTCCCTTGGCATTGCCCAGTTTGCTTTGGTCAGCTCAGGCCCACCTGTTGAGGGCTGATGCCAGTCTCGGTGGACTGGGCCCTCCCCCATAAATCCTCAGTCAAGACAATCCCTCACAGACATGCCCATATCTGACGTGGCAATTCCTCAGCTGACATTCCCTCTTCCCAAGTGACTCTAGCTTGTTTCTAGTTGGACATTAAGAGCTAACCAGCGGGCGGTGGTGGCGCACGCCTTGAATCCCAGCACTTGGGAGGCAGAGGCAGGCGGATCTTTGTGAGTTCGAGGCCAGCCTGGGCTACCAAGTGAGTTCCAGGAAAGGCGCAAAGCTAC